AAAAATACGCATTAGGACTTTATATTTATGCNGTTTCTGAAGCTGGTTACATCGACTAAGGGTAAACAGAATTAAAGAATGGGCAAAAGTCCAGGTCAACTCGCAACTTCCAAGTTTTAAAAAGAACGATCAGAATCTCAAGGAAGGAGGAAATATTGCGTTTTATGTTGGCAGCCGTCTAGTTTCTAGAATGCCATCTGGAAAATGCAAGCAGATTGGCTAGGGTATTTTAGGACTAGCAGTTTCAGTTCACAGTCCCTAAATATTGCCCTGATTAACTCTATTTGGACTACCGACCGACTCACTATATGTGCGTCGCCTGCTCGTACCCGTAATTGATATAGCCTCGACAGTCAATCACTGCTGTGTGTAACATTGTCATGGTAATTTCCTTTCTTATAGATACAAAATAAGTTGTAGCAGTTCGTAGTGTGGTGCACATTTCACATCCACAGCTAGGTATGCATTGCCTCACGGCTGAAGTGATTATTAACCCGATCATCTACATCCCATGCTTTCATCACCTAACCATCCTTACCCTGGCTTTCACAATCCGGTGAAGGGCTGAAATTGCAGCCATAAGGCACTTTGGGTGAAGTTGCATTGTGCTTGTTCAAATGATAGTGGGACAGCTATCAAATGCATGTGTTTTCGATGGGTTAAGCAGCTGATTTATGTAAATGTCATCTTCAGGGTGTGCATTGCTCTTCTCTCCGTTTGAATGACCTTTTCTGCACAAGTGTATTTTGTGCCTCTCTCTTTCTCCAATTCATACCTTGTTGAGACCACCAACATAATCGAGCCACAAGCCAACGTGGTATTAGAGGGTTTTAGGGAGATGGCGCTTATCACATGCACAATTCATAGTTGACCCTTTTTAGCACTTTGCTACACACAATGATTGTTCCTTTTGCATGCTTCTTCATGTCTACTTTTTGACTTAACTCGGTTCGCTGTTGGCTGAATTTAAATGCTTGAATAGAACAAGAAAGCCTTATTTTTGCCACACTTTGTTACCCGTTTTTATCAGTTGGAGGGAAACGAAGTAAGGGTTGAAAACACTCAGACTCACAACAAATTGTGCTGAGTAACCTCCATCTTCTTGAAAGCATTGCCAGTGACACTCACTGTAGTCACTTTCCCACAAAGAACTGTTTTTAAAACTACTTTCTCAACAAAATGAGAAAAACTCTGTGGCAAAAACTATTAGCATAAACTTAAGACTTCAATAGATCCATAGATAAGCCCTCCCTTTCATGGCATCGTGGAGCCTCACTGGCTTTGTGTTGCTGAGGGGAGGCCTCTTCTTAAAAAATGATACATTCTTTGATTCTTCTGCAAAATTTCTAAGCCTTTTTAAAACCCATCTGCAGAATGTAACATAACAAGGCTGGTATTTATTATTAACATTATCATTTCAATGCAGTTACGCCGTCTCTTCAGGTTCATTTTGAATCTTAGAGCCCTGATAAAGTTGTAAATGATGCAGTCATCTCTGTTGTGGACGCTTTTAGCTTATTCTGACCTGGTGTTTTCCCATTTTTTTAACTGTCAGATATCTGCGCTGAAGACTGGCGACACTACCAGGAGTGGCGATTGCTTCGTTGATCTCTTCGTTAGAAGTCTGCTGAGCTTCAGGCATCCGCTGCATTTTAATTTGAGGATACCAAAATTCCCCTTCGTTTGGATTTAGTTTGCTTACGTCTGCCAAAAATGTTGTGCCCCCTTGTCATGCGAACAAGTCTCCAATGGAAGTGGCAAACATTGGTTAGGGAAATTGCTCTCAGTACGGTCAAATCTGTTTTGAAGGAATAAGTAAAAAAAGTCATTGAATTCTCAAAAAAGGCAAGTATGCCATTGTTTGTGGTTAAAAGTCCGAGCGCTACTGTGGTCTTAACCAGGGTAGTCAGGAGGTCAAAAATCCAGTACGAAAGCCTTCAATAGTTAATAACGGTAGGTAAGCTGAAGGTACGGCTGATAAGCGCGTGAGTAACCGGTGGGAAGGCTCCGGTCGCTTTAAGAATATCAGCACACCTAAAGTCTCTCCATATCACAATAACCAACCAGGTGAAAAAATTAGCAAATACGAGAAGAGAAAAGTGCTTCTAAAACATTAGGAAATGGTAGAAATGTGGATTTTCTCTATTGTCAAAACCAGAATGCACTTGGTGTGAGGTTACAAAGTCCCCTCAAAAAAAGGCAGAAGTTAAGCAGACGCCTTCAAATATTGTAGTTTAATTAGCAAAACTATGAGTAGCAGTTCAAGTGGAATTTGCTTTTTACTGTTTCCTTTTTTCAAACAAGAAAACCTAAATTCCTCCTTCCGTTTGGCTGCATTTCTGCAAGAGACTACCTAATCACAAGGACACCTTATAATCATATCAACAAGTAAAAGTGAGAGCAGAGTCCCTATTAACGCAGAGGTGGCTCCAAAACCAAACAACCTTACATTTTAACTCGGATATCCCATTAATGTCTGTCAGCCCTTCAAAGTGGCATGTAATGACATCATGGATTTCTCGAAAACCAAGGCAAAATC